AATTGAATGCAGCAAGTTCTGAACGAGTTAATGTTGATCGTCACGCGGCAGACACGGCAGCGCACGGCAGCTGCATGCGTACCGGTGGCGAGGCGGCTGCAAGACGGCAGCTGCCGCCGCAAAGACTGCTGGACGGCCAAAGGTTGAATGCATGCCGTGCGCGCCATCGTCAGGGCAACCACCATCCAGACACGATCACAATGACCGACCCGGCGCTCTTGCCTCACGACGATGCGCTTGATCATCCACTCCAACGCCTGCTCGCCAGTGACCAAGCGCGTTACGCGTCGAGACATGGCCCCTCCGCAACATCAGAACTTACCGATACCGCATTAACTTGGCCACAATCGACGACAAATCAAGGAAAAACGCGCTCTCAGGATGGTCTCTATGGACTCGACCACGTAGAACTATCAGCGGGCACGACTGGGTTCATGAACGTGGGCCTGTGGGTTCCTCAACCCGACAACGACGAACCAACCTTAATTTCTTCCAATGAGGTCACAGTAAACGGTGGAGAGTGTCAATCATTTGTGCGCGCTTGCGAGAGCATGGTTTGTGCCGTTGCGCATGCTTCTGGCGTGCAGCGCGGGACCCGTGTGTTGGGTTCGTAAAGTTGGTATGAATCAATGGCCTCTCCCGATTTGACGTGCATCCATTATTGTTAAATAGACTGCGGGTATGGACTCGGCGACCAGTGCTTGCTGCTCGCCACCAAGTTTGGGTGCGACGTGATTGGGCTCGTACGTTCCGACTTTTTGCCACAAGTGAGTCTGGCACACGCTGAGCTGACGAGGAACGCCGTTCACCATAGACCAAGTCACCCGTGCAAGCCACCATCGCCCGCGACCGTGTTGCCGCGCTCAATCTCTCGAACCGCGTCGTTTTGGCCGAGGGCGACGCCGTGACGATCGACGCGGCGTGGCCCGCACTCGCCCCCGATCCGGATTGGGCGCCCGACGTGGTCCTCTCCATTGACTCGGCGTGTACGTTTTGTTAAACACTGCATGTTTCCCACTCACCAGATTAACCTCCATGCGACGAACGCAGACCACTATCAGACGCGCGCGCACTTCTTCGCCGCAGCGCACGCCGCGCTCACGTCCTCCTCGCCTGCACGACCGGGTCGACTCGCTCTCGCCGACCTGATAGTCCCGACCACGTTCGCGACACGCACGCTTTTTTCGTGGATTCCCGCGCTCCCCGTGGCCAACCTCGGTTCCATCGACGACTACGTCCTTCATTTGGACCGTGCCGGGTTCGAGGCGATCAAGGTCGAGGACGTGACCAATTCCGTGTTCCCTGGGCTCACGACCTACCTGTGCGCATTCCCCGGCGCGCGGAAATGGCGCGTGGCCGGGTGGATGTGGTGGGCGCTTTGGAAAGCGTTGGGGGCGCGGTACGTGATTGTGTCGGCGACGGTCAAAAAGAGTGTTTGATCGACAAACTTTCAATGAAAAAGCAAGGAGAATGGTTGAATGTCCAAAATCCATTTCACGACCACAAATTTCACCTCAACTGCCCACGTTCCCTCCCCTCTTCCATCAAAGCAAGCAAGCACGCAAACGAACACTAAGATAATAACCCTACTTCAATCTACTGCGCGGCCGTGGCCGCCGCCGCGGGCGGGTCCAAGCTGGCCACATCCTCCAAATCAATCCCGGCCAAATCGTGCATGCCCAGCGCCAAGTTGACGTTCTGGATCGCCTGCGTCGCCGCGCCCTTGCGCAAATTGTCAATCGCGGCGACCAGCACGATCCGCGCCGGCGCGTTCCCGACGGGCGGGACTACCGTGAACCCACCGACCGCAACCCCGTGGCGACCGGCAATGTCCCCGACGCAAGGCGGGTCGCGCTTGGTCGGGTCCATGACTTCGACGAGCGGCTCCTCGGCGTACTGCGACGCATACCGGTGGTGCACGAGCGCGGTGGCGGTCTTGCCGTCACCCTTCGCAATGGCATCCGCCAGCTCTGAGTCGACCGCACGAATCTTGTCCACGGACGCGAGCGGGGCATGAATCGTCAGATGAATCCCACGGAAGAACGCGCCGACGTGCGGCGTGAACTGCACGGCGGCCGTGTGCCGCGACGCCTCGGCCTCGTGAATGTGCCCGGCGAGCGCGTAGGCCAGCACCTGCGCGCGGTTCAAATTGTTCACGTCGTTCTTGGGCGACGGCGTCGTCCCGGCGCCCGAGTAACCCGACACGCCAAACACGCTCGCGGGTCCACCGAGGAGGCCAGCACGGGCCAGCGGGTGCAGAGCGAGCTGCATCCCCGTCGCGTAGCAACCCGGGTTCGAAATGCGCGCGGCCTTGGCGAGATGCTGGCGGCGCGCCTCCACGAGCCCGTATTCCCAGATCCCGTCGGCGAACCGGTAGTCGGCCGACAGGTCGACGACGATGGGCGACTGGTGGCCGTGTTGCGACGCGTGCGGGGCACGCGCTTTGTCAATGGCCGCGACCCAGGGTGCGGCGGCGCCGTTGGGCAGGGCCAGAACCCAGGCGTCAACGTCGTCGACCTTGGAGACATCGTCGGGCGAGAGCGCCTCGTACCGGACGGTTGGGGACCGGGTCCAGGTGCCGACGGGGGTGCCGGACAGTTCCTTGGACCGCGACAGCGACCGCGCGAGGGCGAGGCGCGGGTGCTTGTTGAGGATGCCGATCAGTTCCTGGCCGGTGAAGCCGCGGGCTATTTTGGACGATAAGAAAACCAATCAGCTCGGTGGACAAGAATGAGGGCATGGATATGATGAGCTCTACACACCGCCAATCAGCCCAATACGGTACTCGGGCGCGTCCTTGGGGGTAGCTGAGGTCGAGTACGACCGGCGGCCATGAACGGCCGTACGGGGACCCAGCGGCTTGGCGGCCGTCGCGAACCCGCGCTTCTGGCCCGCAGCCGCGATCCCCGCCGCAGCAACCGTGGCAGCACCGCCGCCGAGCGCCTGGTGGCGCGCGTAGAACTGCTCGACGCACAGCTTGACATCCTGCGGCGACGCGATCCCGCGGAACAGCAGAATCGTGTCGTTCCCAACGCTCAACGACCCGTCGGACCGCTCAAAGTGCCAGGCGCGGTGCGGGTCGTTGCGCGAAATGGTCCACATGAGCCGTGGGTGGTCAGCGGCGACCTTGGCCCAAACGCCGTCGTTGACATTGTTGAGCAGGCCCGTCTTGGTCACGACCATCTTGTCGATGATCGGGATCGCGCCCGACTGCGTGTCGACGAGCGCAACCACCTCAAACCCTTCGTCGCCGTAAATCTGGAACTTGCCGGCCTTGACGGCTTGCAGGTACTGTGCAACCGAGACCTTGCCCTTAGCAATATCCGCGTCGTGCGCGAGCAGCGCGCGCAGCCGGTCCACATCAATTTCAGCGAGCGCGTCGTGCCGGTACAGCCGGTGCCCGCGACGAATCAAGGTGCCCGCACCCGAGTGCGTAAACAGCTCCTTTTGCAAGTGCTCGGGCGAAATGATCGAGACCGACGACGACCGCGGCAAGTGCATGAGCAAGTCGTGAATTTCGCGCAGCTTGAGCTTGGTACCGTATTTCACCCAGGGCTGCGCCATGAGATGGTCGTACTCTTCGTCGAGGTTGATCACGTCCATCAGCGCGCCCGTCTCGCCGTGGTGCATGCCGCCCTTTTCGTTCAAAAACACAATCTTGAGCGGCTCAATCACGCGCGCCAATTCGGCGGCCGCAACGTCAGCATTCACGTTCAGCGCCTGGCCGTCGGGCGTTTCAGCGAGCGACGTGAGCACCGGCAGCGCACCCGCCTGGATCGCCGCCTCGATTGGGGCGCGATTCACGTGCGTGATCTTGCCGACGAGCCCGTACTTGTCCTTGTCGAGGTAGTCGGCCGTGAAGACGCCCGACGGGATCGGACGTGCGCGAGTTCCGCGGCGCTCGAGCGCGTCGGCGAGCTTCAGGTTCTCGCGAGCAAAGACGGACCGAGCGATCGTGAGAGTGTTGGCGTCGGTGACGCGAATGCCGTCAATGTAGTTGGGCTCGACGCCAGCGTTTTCGAGCAATTGGTTGAGTTGCGGGCCAGCGCCGTGCAGAATGATGGGGAACAGGCCCACTTGGTTGAGGAACGTGACCGACGAGGCGAGCGAGTCGAGCTGGTCGGAAATGATGGCGCCGCCGACCTTGATCACGGCGAATTTTTGCGAGTCGACCGAGGAAAAGTGGTTCAGGTACCACTCGACTTCGCGCCGCGAGCCAATGTTGTAAAGAAGCCGTGTGATCGTTTCCTGGAAGTGGCCATTTGAGCGTTAGCAGGCTGTTCGCGGATCACAAAGTTGCTCATTGCGCTGGGTAGAAGCGCACCTTTTCAATGTTAGGATGGCCCGCAGTGCCTGTGTTCGTGTAGGCGCGCGCATACGATCGCCCAACGAGCCACGGCGCCATGGCGGCGGTGCGAGCGGCCGTGGCAGGAAGAGCAGCCGAGCGGATCGCGGCTACTGCTGCTGCTGGCGAGGACTGGAGGGCACGGGCGGCGCGGATCATGGTGGCGAGCTTGCGGTTATGGGGTATTGCAGTCGAGGAGAGAGCAAGAACGAGGCGGATCCGGGCCGAGAGATGAAAGAGTCGATTTGGGCCCCGGAGTAAACAAGTCGATGCGGTCGGTGCGCGCGCAGAGGTCGCGGGTCCCACGGGTGCTGGCGCAGTCGAGAGAGTGAGAGAGACTTGGCGTCGCCAACGTGGGCTGCGCGGGCGAGCGGCAGGGATGGCACGGTATTTGTATCCGGAGCAGCGTGCTGCGTGCCGCCGTGTGCGCCGTCGTCCGGGGCCAGCTCGGTCGTCGTCGGAAAATCAAACGATGGAAGCGACGACGAGCCATGATCAAAACGCGCAATCTCATCTTTCGGCGCGGCACGACTCGACAGGACACGATCACGTGCAGGTCTGAGTGGGGCTTCACCGCTGTGTGGCGCATTGTCCACCGCACGCGTCTCAGTCCGGACCAGTCTATCCTGACCAGAAACGAACCTAGCACGGCGAAGGCCTCGTGGAGAAATGGTCAACTCGTTGGTTTTCGGCACCAAAGATTGTCGGTTCGAGTCCGGCCGGGGTCGCACGCAAATGAGGGAGGTTTAACATGTTGTGGCTCTTTTTGACCTGGCGCGCAGCGCGCGCACTTGTGCAGCTGTTGATAGGAAAACGCTGCTTTTCGCAACCAAGGGACTCTTTCAAGCTCCCCGTCAGCGCACATGAGCGCACTCGTGGCGCGTCGCAATGGAAATGTGATACTAATTGTGAAGGCGTGATCGACCCATTGGTATCACGCCAGTGGGTTGGCCGGCTCGAGTCTGGCCAGGGTCGCAATAGGCAGCCCTGTTCTGCAGCATTTTGCTTCAAAACAACCGGAAGTCGATCTGCAAAGGTCGTCTGTCCTTGCACTCGACATTTTGATGCTATTTTACATTTGAACAATCCCATGCACAAGCGCCTTCGTGGGTCGTGACGGCATTGGTCGCGGCGCTTCTTTTGTCCTCTACAATTCCAAATGCGCGAGAGGCGACAAACCAAGTAGTGGATGAAATGAGACTTGTAAGAGTACTGCAAGACCAACACCAGAAATCACAAACAACTGTCAACCAAACGCAGGGCGGGGTGTCAACCTGCTGCGAAACAAAAAGCCCAGGGAAACCAGACGAACGAAAAAGTAACCCAAGAAACGCGACCGATCAGACCGCGATCAAACCCAACCACAACTGTTGGCAACTCATCCCCACACCTCACTCGAAATCCGCCAACTCCGGCAACCGGATCGTGCGGACATCCACGCCATTGTACAGATCGGCCATCGCCGAACGCTCCGGCGCGCCGCCACTGCTCGACGCCTGCGGTGCGGGAGACGACGACATCGACAGCGCAGCCTCCTCATCCGCATTCGCGGCAGCCGCGCGCGGGCGGTTCTTGCGGTTCTTGCGCGACACGACTGTGAACGCCTCCTCCTCGGGCTGTTCCGGCGCGGGTGCGGGCACAGGCGCGCGCTTGGGCGACGCCGCGCGCGACTGCTGCTGCGCCTGCTTGCCCTTGGCGGGCGCGGCAGCGGCAGGCTGGGGTGCCGCCGCGGCCGGCTTGAGCTCGGCCGCCTTGGGTGCGGCGGGCTTGGGCGCCTCCGACTCGGACTCAGTCACGGTCGCCGACGACGTTGCAGCCGGCGCGGGGGCCGGAGTCGCCGCGGCCTTCTTGTTGTTCTTCCCCTTCTTGTCGTTCTTCTTCTTACCGGCCTTATCCTGGACAGCCGGCGCGGGGGCGGCCACAATATCGGCGGTGGTGGCCGCACTCGCGGGCTCGGCCGCGGTCTCGACCTGCGGCGTCGCCGGCAAGTCGACTTCCGAGTGCACACGCTTGGTGAGCGGCGTCGTCGTCTGCTCGTCAAAGTCGAACCGCTCAGCCTCAAGCCGCTTGCGCTTGCGCGCCGCGTCGTCGGCGTTAAACTTCTTGGCGTCCGCAGAGGCGGCGGGAGCAGCAGGGGCCGCACCGACCTTTTTGGGCTTGAGCGGCGACCGCGCCGACGCGAGCGCCTTGGACCGGGTTGTCGTATCCTCGTTGTCCTCATCCTCGTCCTCATCCGCGGGCACAAGCGAGTCCTTCAAGTCGCGGTCCACGTCCGACGAGTAGGCAAACAGCGCGCCGACTTCCCCGCGGATGACGGCAGTGCCGAACGCGGCCAAGATGCACGCCGGCGACAGGTAGAGCAACGCCGGCTGCGCAGCGCGGAACGTATGCATGACGACGACAGTCGTGACGAGCCCAGCAATGTAGGCAACGAGGCACGTGGTGAAGTAAGGCGTCGCGAACCCGCACGCCGTGTAGTTGGTCGCCTTGCGCTTGGCCATCGACAGCAGATAATTGTGGTAGTCGAACCGCAGGCACAGGGCCACAAAAATCCCCGGGATCACGATATCGCCGAGGCCGAGCATAGTGAACGCGGGCGTGGCCGCGGTAATGTCCTTGGGGAAAAGCATCTTGACGGGCGCGTCAAACTTGCGCGCGACCGAGACCATGACGTCGGTGCCAAACACCCAAAAGATGTCGTAGACAAACAGGCCCGCGAGCAGGATCATGCCCGTGCGGAACGAGTCGAGGTCGAGCAGCGTGATGGCCGACATGGCAAATGCCAGACCCAGCAGGTTATTGAGCGTCCAGTGCTTGGTGAGCACGTAAACGGCGACCAGGACCACGGCAACGACTGTCGAGAGCAGCGTGAGCCGCGAGAACGTGACAAAGAAGAGACGCAGGCTGTCATGCTTGGCCGGCTTGCGCGACGATGACGCGCTGGATGCCAACGACGGTTGGCGGTGCAGCGTCAGGTCGTACTTAGTCAGTTTCCACGCCGTCTCGACGGGGGCCAAGGCCGTGGCAAACAGTGACGCGAGCGCGACAACGCCCATAAGCGCGAAATAGGCGGTCAAGAGCAAGTTGACGTGGGCCGGGTCGAGGAACCGGAAGGTCAGGTAGAGGCCAAAGAGCACGGCCGAGCCCGTGATGGGGAACCAGTAGGCGTCGGCCGACGAGAGCGTCTCCTTGTCAAAGTGGCCGTCGGTGCGCGAGCGCAGCTGCGGCTTGCCATTCTATCCGTTAGAGTGCGCGTAATGATCAGCTTTTTTCAGATCCTGATGAAGGCGGGGGTGGGGTTGCTGGGGCGCAGTACAGGAGATGCGAGCGTGCACCAGGCTCACACATGAACGCACCTTGGTCGTGGCCGGCTGAATCAGGTCGACCGACTTCCAGGCGCCGGCGTAGATGGGGATCAGCGCGAGCACGAGCATGGCCACGTAGGCCACATAGAGGCCAGCATCGTCGCTGCTGGCCATGGTGAAGAGCGCGGTTCGAGCAGGGGGGCGCGTCGGATCACAGGGTAACGAGGAGGGCACGGCAGCAGACGCGTCGGTGGAGCGGGCGGCGGTCGCGGATCACGGTCTGTCGTGGCGTTCTGTGCGCTTGCGGGTGCTCGTGCTCGTGCTCGCGTCCTGGAGCGCGTCGTGTCGGCCGTGGGCAGCGTCTTCGAGCCGGCGTCTTGACGGCCCAAAGGCACGGCGTCCGATCAGGCGGCAGCGCAAGAGGCTCGCCCACGTCGACGGGCACGGTCACGCCAAGACAACAGATCTGGCAGGCTTGCGCTGCTTGTGCGAGATGCAATGGGTGTGGCAGGCTAACCACACGCAATTGACGCGGTTCTTCCCGGAAACCACCTGCCCACGTTGCGGTTTGCCGCTGGCAGGGACCTGGCAACTTACGCGCGAGTCGGACCTGCGCGCGACGGCCATCCACCCGGAACACCCTCATCATGGTGAGCCCGTCCACTGACCGTCGTACGCCTGTCCCCGACCGTGGACATGCATCCGAAGTCGTTTTGGGCGACGGCGGCGGCATTGCAAGACGCAGAGTGACTTCCAATGCGGTCGGTGCGGTGAACGCAAAGCACGCCAGGCGGTGTTCGGAAAATATTTTTACGTTGCTGCAGGCGCTGACCGCACTGGGCGCTACTTCCCTGCGTCGAAGGCTGCAGGGTTGCCGTTTGCATGTCCTCGCGACCCTGTTTCGACCAGTTTGAGTGGTGCGGCCCCGCGGCGCCCCGAACGGCGCACGCCCCTCCACACTACCACCGCCCAGACGGCAAGGCACCGCTTTTTTGGGTTGATCGGCGAGCATGCAAAGCATCCCCACGCGGCACAGGTACCCTCACGGTAACGTTGCCGTGCACCACACTGCGCCCGACGGCCAAGGCCAAGGGCCAAGACGCGCTCGACACAGACAAGCGCGCTTTCCCTTGAGCCATCCCAGTCCGATCAGGCCTGATTCTGCGCATGTATAAAACCGCGCACTTCCCCGCTGGTCCTTGCTCACCATCCAACGCTCTCTCCGTTGTCTGTCTTCTCCTCTCCACCGCTCTTCTTCGACACCAAGACGCGACTGTCGTAGACAACTGACCCCCATCTTCTCCACCCACCTGTACGTGCTCAGTGCTCAAGTTGGTATATTCAACGTGCGCATTGGCTTGACCGCAAACTCATCACACCTTTTCTCTTCTCCAGACCAAAATGATCGCCGCCGCCCTGCTCATCCTCGCCCTCGTGGCCGCCATCCTCCCCGCTGCCCTCGCCGGGTCCGTGACCGTCAACTCGCCGCTCAAGCCGTGGGCTGCCGGCACCGACGAGACGCTCACCTGGTCGTACGACGCCGCCGGCAATGGCCCGGACGCTGACGCGCCCGTCAAGGTGATGCTGATGCGCGTCAACGGCGATCTCAACAACATGGTGCCCATGACCGAGCTCGGCACGACGACGCCCGCTGCCGGTTCGCTTAAGTTCAAGGTCCCGACCAACCTGCCCGAGTCGGCCGATTACGCCGTGCAGTTTGCCGTTGGCACGGACCCGGCCGGCTGGAAGTACACGGGTGTCTTTGCCGTGACCGGCGGCAAGCCCGATCTGCAGCAGCTCTCCGGCACGTCGACGACCGGCACGACCTCGGGCACCGCCACGGCCACGACGACCGGCACCTCGACGGCGACGGAGACCTCGACCACGCATGCCTCGACCACGACGATCGGCTCGACCACCTCGTCGGCCACCTCGTCGGCCACCTCGACCGCCACGACGACGACGGCTGCCCCGCACGTGACCTCGACGCTCACCAACGGCGCTGCCGGCTCGGCCCCGTCGTTTGTGCTCGCCGCCTTTGTCGCGGCCGCTGGCTTCCTCGCCCTCTAAGCGCACCCTCCCGTCGTCCATGTAACCCGTGTCAAGTCAAGTCTGCCGCGACTGCTGTAGCGCGCGTCTTCAAGAGTCTCATTTGTCGAACCCATTTCAATCTTCCTCCTGTACTTTTTGCTTGTATCATCCGTTTGCGCCTTTTTCCTGGTCGCGCTCGTCTCTCTCTCTCTCTGTCCTGGTAACCGTTTCACCAATTTCTCGCTCGGAAATGCAGTTTTCGGATCCCCCTCTCCTCTTTACCAGTCTCTCTTGTACGGCTCGTACGCTCATCTGTCCAGTTTGCACATGTTGTCAATGAACCATTTCTTTTTTTTTCGCAACGATCTGTCATGTCCTGTTGTAGCAGAATA